TATGGCAGACGACTTCGGACTAGGTGCGTTCTACATGGTCTCCCTGAAAAAAAGACCAAGTTGCGACTACGAGGTCAACCCACTTCTACTCATATTATTGTGGGAAAATTCTACTACCAGTCCTTCTTCACCTTAAACAAAATAGAGTGAATACATCTCATATTATTAATTAGCTATATAAAACATTAGTAAATGGCCAAAAACTATTATTCAAAGTAGCTTTTGAGAATACCACTAGATCTTGAATAAATGCTATGGGCAGTCTAGGTCGCATAAGAGGATGAAGGGCTGTTGGTTGAATAATGATAGGTGTAGGCTTCACGAAGCGATTGAATTTCACTTAGCCATGCTTCAAATCAGTTATTCATTCCCATAGTGGATTACAGTTCTTATTTAAAATCTAATAATAGCATACTATTTGTGAATAGAGTAACGAAGTCAAGCGTAATAACAAAACATAAGTTTATCTTATCGATAATCTCAGTATAAATGTGAAGTTTTCATACAGTATTTTGTAACTCTTCAAATGAAGTAGAGTGATCTAGTTTAAATATGAGGATAATAGCTATAAAGAATTTCAATCGGACAACTTCAAACATTAAGCACAATTTGCCTTTTTACGTCATGCGTGAGCCCTAATGCAGATGTATTTATTTATAATTTAGCCTTGTAAGTCGTTTAAATAATAGCTATAAGACTAGCATGTGTCAACCCCTATGATTGTAAATTCCTATGACAACTGTTTCCAATCTTTTTAATTGTTTCTTTCGACTAGAAAACTTGTCGAATTTCCTTAAACATCTATTTCCATTGGCCTACAGCCAACTATATAATTATTTTTTATTCGGATGGTATCTACCTTGCGCTCCTTATTTCTTCGCTAATATAATTATCTAAATAATAACCGCTATTTCTTGATTGTTAAGGCGGCTAATAGCGAATCAAATGATTATTGCCTAGCATGCTGAATTTAATTCCGAGATGTCTGGCACATATTTTGAGTCATCAAATAAATGCATTGATGCAAATAGACAATGCGATTACCACTACAAGAATATATAACAGAATTAGCAGATGTATGTACATTTTCTCATTCAATTTTGTCGTCTAGTCTATTGTAGTTCATCCCACTTCACTTAAATCAAGTTCTGTCTAAACCACAGCATTCCTCCAATAAATCAAATAGAAGTTAGTAGCTTCATGATTCATTTTATCCAAGCCTATATGCATCTGCCAAGTTAAAAACTTTCCTATCAGTAACTAACCATTTGCAAGCTTGACTCCAGCATGTGGGTAGTAATATTCGTTTCCATGATGCGCTTTTGCTAGCCACGTAACAACTGCATAAGCTAGTCCAACTAATTCGACAGCAGCACCATCACGTGGGGTGGCAGGTAACCCTTTGTTGCCGGCAGATTCTGATGAGCCCATCTTATCCATCCAGGTTCCGCAGTTCCATCTGTTACCGCCAGTCGGAAATCCTGTACTTGGATCTATGCGCGCTTGAACCTAAATAAGGAAAGGAGAAAGCATTGAAACTAGATAAACAGAGAAATGTGACTGTTACAGCAACAGTGCCAACTCATATTTGTGGAATGAACGAAGTTTTAACTATTTATAGTAAAACATTTTACATATAATATATGATGAAATTCGTGTTCGATTTAAAGGCTGGTGTAGATCTAAATACAACTTTTAGAGAAATTATCTTAAGAAAAACTATAAAGTTTAGTTAAACAAAATCATTTAAGAAATGGGTTGACCTCGTTGTCGCAACTTTGTCTTGTTTTCAGGGCGACTTAGTAGAACGCAACTAGTCCGAAGTCGTCTGCCATAATAGTTGTCATGATTCCCAGCATCAGACAGTGGACTTGGTACATTCTTAAACGTTTCGCCGGCATCATAGTCGGCATCAGCAATGAGTTTTGCCATTCGCCGCACCAAGCTACGAACTCGTCAGAGACAAGTAAAGTCAATCCCTTGACAACCGTTCTGCCAAAACCGGTTACAATATCACTGCTCTTTCTGTCCTGGCCTATCTATCTACTCCTTACCCTCTTATCCCACTTCCGCCCTATCACAACTTCTCACTTGTCTACATTCCTCTCGTCAAAATATGTGCCCTTTTGTGGCAAATATAGTGTGGTCTCATCACACTTGATATTTACTCCGACCCCTCTCTTTCGATGGTCTTATCCGACTCGGACCTCCAATCCGGATCCCTTCATTGTCCCGTAGACCATACCAGAGGCCACAACATCTTGGTCTTCATATCTTCAAAATTATTTTAAGTTCCCTTTACTTCTGCAACAGAAAATTTTAGTCTTAAATTCTCTTCTTATATTATACAATAAGACAAATAACTTAATACACTCAACAACCATAACCTGAATATAACACTACTATATTTTGATAATAGTCTGCAAATCGGGTAAATTTAATCCGAAAAACTGTAAAAAGATATCACTGTCAGGTTCGTGCAACTCTTCATAAACAATTCCACATAATCTCAACATCAAGCGAGAGTGTAGTCATATTGACCTTCGGCTCTAGCTACAAGAGTAATCGACATTTTATTTGTTCTGGAACAAGTATTGGTTAAAATTCATTCTGGAGCCGAACAAACATATTTGCCTGAAAATCAGCTATTGAAAAATATACTATCATATGAAACTAAAATTATAAATTTGAAATAGACCAATCGTGACTTAATAAATCTCAATAGGATGAAAGCAAAAATATTAGTATCTTAGTGTTATTATTACTATATAGCAGAAGCTTAGTTCAGATAATTGTTTTGCGTCATAGAAAGATAACAGAGACAAGAAAGCAAATAAAATTCTTATTGGTGGTTGGTGCTTTATGACTCGGTGGGTACGCTCAAGATGACAAAATTTGTCTTTTAGCTGAGATTTTACCTCCCTAGAAAAATTTCAAATAGCTTGGTTAAAAAAGTAATAGTAATGAGGTAAAAAAATCAGTGTTATTATTTTTTTGTCTTGATTTAAATTGTCATGTGTAAATTATGCAGTAAAGGGCTAGGAACTGAACCAGCTAATTAGATAATAAATAAAGGAATGTACAATAGGAAGATGAAACGAAAGACATTTTAGGTGGTCCACCGTAAAGGAGAGTTTAAATTAAGAAGTAGGGATTGTAAGACGGGATCATCGATTAACGTGACAAAGCTATAACTATGTCTGAAGGCAAAGTTAGAAATCAGGCTAAATATGGATGATTTTGAGCATTTGAAACGAAGATGAGAGCAGACAGTATGGGGTCAGAGTAAAAAATATACCATTTGATAGAGATTTGAGATAGTTCAACATGGTTTTTTTCAATCAATTTGGCTTCCTGTTAAACAAGTGAAAGAGATTTGTTTTAGCGCTGAATATGGTCGATTTTATAAAGGCGCCGACTAAACTTCCGTAAATGTATCTTAAAAAAGA